AAATTCAATATAGGCCGGGCAGAGCCTTATTTACTGCAAGCCTGGCCCGGGCTTGATCAAAAACTCTACACATTATGATCTCTGGCCTTTTTCAGAGACATAGTGTTTTTGATAAAACCTACAATTCTTTTTCAAATATACGAGTAGAAGTGTCTTTAAAAGATTGGGAACCACAAGTCTAGGTACTTCCCATTCTTAAAGTATGTTTTTCCTTACTCCCCACTGAAAAATAATTAGGGTATGTGGCTTTAATCATGTAGACACTGGCTAGAAAATACAAAATTTTTACTATGCTCAAATTTGAAGGCTGATATAGTTTGGGATTATTTTACATCGGATGAAATTTTCAAATTTTAACCCTGTAACATATATAGGGTTGTATTAGAAATAGGCCAAAAAGATATTTATATAAATCAGGTGATTATAACGGCTTTTTCTAGTTTTGAATTTACAATATGGGGAAAATAATTATGTACTACCTATCAATTCAGAATCTCCTATAAAAATATGAGTGCCTGAACCCCATACTTAAAATCTTATTTATAATCTGCATATTTAACTAATCTAATATTTAATATAATATGGTCTAAAAGTATAGATACAAATAATATAATATATTTTATTTTACATAATATTAGTTTGCTTTATTATTTTTTTATTGTTCTCTCATAAAAACTATAAAAAATTAAGCCCTAACTTAAAATTCATTAAAAAACATATTTTATTTTATAGATTTCATTAAATAGTGTCCGTAAAGAATTAATTTTATCAATATATATGTTAATGCAATCACACACAAAAGAAAGGAAATCTTATCATAAAAGATTAACTATAAAACTATCATGATAAACATCATCTTTTAATTTAATATACATGTGGAATTATTTAGAGTTGGGGGTTTATCAACACAAATATCATGTGATCAAATATAAACATGTTTTTTAAGACAATATTAACTTTTTGATATTATAGATAGAGGTAATAATCATATTTATAATATTTGAAAAATCGTTTCTCTTTACATATTGTTGTGAATAGAGTTAGGAAATATCCTTTTCCTTGAATTTTTTTTATTAATATAATGTTATAGAAAACCGATATCCATTTTCATGCTGTTGAGATTTTCAATAGATTTTTAATTGTTCAACCACTATTTTAAAATGAGAATGGGTAAAACTTATTCATCAATTGCTGCCCGAATTTGATTAACCTTTATGAAATTAATACCGCGTATTTGTTAAATATATTCCCCTTACTTTGAATTTTATTCTATTAATTAAAATATAGTGTTGTGATGATTTAATGAAACATATTGACGATTAAATTAAAACCCATCCATATAAAATTATTTTCTTAGAAAAATAATTAAAATAATGACAAAGCATTATTGAAAATTCTTTTATTACTCCTTTTGTTATTTTAATTTTTTTGGCAAAGAGAATATATATGGATGAGTTTTAATTTAATCGTCAATATGTTTCATTAAATCATCACAACACTGTATAAGTTCCATTATCTTTTCTATACATTTAAAAAATTCTTATTTCTATAATATTATGTTTTAGATATCTTGTTATTCATAATTATTATTTATTATACTAAATATATATATTTTAATTCGTGTGCAAATTTTTTTTTATAAATAGCAATTATTTAAAATATATTATGTAATAAATAATTGGATTAAATGAAGAGTTATATTTATAATATATTATTGAGTAACTGTAAAGGTAATTAAATGCTCCTCAAACGGGTTGCAAGGAAGAAGAGAAAGATGACTTTAGAGCTATCCTTGATGAAGCTGTAATGGAAATACCTAAGGATGACCTAGTCATAATTGGTGGTGACTTAAATGCGCATGTGGGAAAAGCAAGAGATAGCTACAAAAGGCATCATGGTGGTTTTGGATATGGAGAAAGAAATGATGAAGGAGAGCACGTACTTCGACCTTGCCTTGACCAACCTACTATAGGAAAAAACACAGTCATTTAATAACATACGAAAGTGGTACAAGGAAAACACAGATAGATTGCATGCTAATCTCTCGCAGAAAATTAAAAGATGTAATAGACTGCAAAGTCATCCCAGGAGAAGATATTGCCGCGCAACACAAGCTACTAGTCATGGATTTACACATCTCAAATAAATCCACTCAAAATAAGATAAAACTTGAACCATGCATCAAATGGGGTAAATTAAAAACAATGACAGAGGCCTTTGCAATCAATACAAACATTGATACAATAGATTCCTCACAAGTCAGTGGAAAAATGTGGACAGACCTTTCATCCAGATTAATAGACACTGCCAAATCGACACTAGGCTTGACAAGGAGAGGCAACAAATCATAGAAAGAACTATGGTGGTGGAATGAAGAGGTACAAACCACTATAAAGGAGAAAAAAATTCCTATATAAAATATGGTACAAGTCCAAAAACCCAGATGACAAGACAAATTACAAAAAATTCAAGAGAATAGCTACAAAAGCGGTGGCTAGGGCCAAAGCTATGGCATACGATGACATGTATAAAGAACTACATACAAAAGAAGGGCAAAATAACATATACAGATTAGCCAAACAGCGAGAAAAGAATTCTAGATATAAACGGAGCTCCGAAAGTAATCAAAAATAAAGATGGGAAATTAATAATAAAGGAAAAAGAAATAATGAATAGATGTAAAGAATATTTTCAGCTTCTCAACTTTAATCCCCACATACTACATCTAGACGAACACTCCCCATGTCAAAACTTAATACAACCAATAACAGAACAAGAAAAAATCACATGCCTCAAGCATATGAAAAACAACAAAACTAGGGGTCCCGATGATATTTCAATAGAGAGCCTTAAAGCACTAGGAGATTATGGAATACATCTCACAAATCTGTACAATAAAATACTGGGAAATGAAGAGATCCCTCAAAAATGGAGGCAGAGCTATCTAGTCCCTATCTTCAAAACAACTGTCAAAATTACAGGGGCATAAAACTAATGTCACACTGTCTTAAACTCTACGAAAAAATAATAGAAATAAGGTTAAGAGACATAATCGAAATAGAAGAGACTCAGTTTGGCTTTATGCCTGGAAGATCAACAACTGATGCTATCCACGCAATTAGGCAAATGAGTAAAAAATACAGGAAAAAGAACAGAAAGCTACACATGGTCTTTCTCGATCTAGAAAAGGCCTTCGATAGAATCCCAAGAAAACTTATCTGGTGGGCGCTACGCCACAAAAAGGTTCCCGAAAAATATATAAGAATAATACAGGATATGCATATGGGCCATACAACAATACTTCAACAGGTTTCACAATAGCCAAGGGAGTTCATCAAGGGTCAACTCTCAGCCCACTTCTCTTCATAACAGTAATAGATGTATTAGCACAGTCTATACCACAAACAGTCCCGTAGAATATGATATTTACAGATGATATTGTGATACTTGCCGAATCCAAGGTTGAAATAAAAGAAAGATTAGTAAGCTGGATAAATATCCTAGAAAAGTACGGACTAAAAGTAAATAGAGAAAAGACGGAATATATGGTGATAGGAGGAGATGAAACAGAGAGCATTGATATGAATGGCAGATATCGGCAATGGAAAGCTGCAAATATTTGGGCTCCACTATACAAACAAACGGCACAATAGAGAAAGAGATAAAGAGTAAAATTAATCAAGGATGGTTAAAGTGGAAATCTTTATCTGGAGTGCTCTTTGACAAAAGAATCCCACACAAATTGAAGGGAAAAATTTACAGTTCCATAGTACAACCAACTATTCTATATAGTTCGGAAACATGGCCAACCAAAGAATCAGACAAAAGAAGTCTACAAACTATGGAGATGAGAATGCTGAGGATGATTGCTGGGGTAACAAGAAAGGATAAGGTGCGAAGTACAAGAATACTAGAAAGTTTAAAGGTAGTGCCCATTAAGACCAAGATAATGGTAAACAGACTTAGGTGGTATGGGCATACAATGAGAAGGCCTATGAACTACATAAAAAATAAGGTTGAGAGTTTGGAAGTGATGAGTAAACGTAAAAGAGGAAGGCCAAAACTTCAATGGGGCCATAAAGTTAGAGCCAATATGAAGAAGTATATATTAGATAAACGAGATAGTATGAATAACATAAAGTGGAGAGAGATATTGAAGGAGCTTACCACCAGAAAAGGTGAAAGCTAAAGAGAAAAAAAAATGGAATACTTTCTTTTTAATATGAATTCTTTAAAGGGTTATTAAAATATTCATAAATCACCTTCTATTTTTACTAGAGAATTTTGCTCTAGGTTAAAGCATGGTTTTAAACTTAGTCTTTACTCAAAATATTACTTATTTTAGTACTATTCCAATTCTCTAGAACAATTATAACATATACTCTTAAATAAGACTTTTCAAAAACGAATCAAATAGTATGTTATTTATATTCAACACGAATTGCATAATTTAATATTTGTATTCGTAAGAAAAATAAAAAGGATTATTTATAATCGATATATTCTAAAAATTGGATTTTTATAAATTTAAAAAAAATAAATATTATATTAATTAAATTATGGTTGAAAAATGTAAAATATAACAATGTTTTTTTTTATGATAATATAACGATATTCATAATAATTGACTATACACCAATCATTAAATATAATATATTTAAAATAAGCTTATTATATAATATCGGAATTGGGACTACAAGTTCCCAAAAAATAGGAATAATTAAAGAATATTAAAAAAATATATAGAATATAACTTAGACTAAAATAGTTTCTAGTTCTGGTAAATAAATATATTATTCCATTTATATTTATTTCTTGAATAGGCACTCTGTTAATAAGCTATAAAAATGTTTTCTGAAAATTTTAAACAATAAACCTTCATAGATGAATCACACAACATTTAACCATGGCATATAAATTAGTTACATTTTTGTTAGAATCAAGTCATTTCCAGAAAATATATTTAAAAAAAAAAATTATATAAAATATTTCAAATGCAGGAGCTATTTTGGATCAAGAGACCTACAGAAATGATGTGAACGCTTTGAAACATGGTTTGACCATACACAATATGAAAAAGATCCCTTATAAATTTGTGGCTAAAATACGCATCATAAACTCTCATGATCCCTATAATTTGACTGTATCAAGTTATCAAAGATAAATAATTATATATTTGAATTTAAACTTTAGAATAAAATTCTCATAATTAAAACCTTGGTTTAAATGAGCAAGACTGCAGATGAGGTAAGTGTATTTGATCAAAATCTCTTTCAAGGAAAGCAGGACTTTTACACCATCTCCCCCATGCCAAAGATATTAACCTCCCCCCCCCCCCTCCCTTCCCCCAAAATATAAAAAAATTCTAATCAAAATTAGCAAAAAGGGAAATTCAAACTCATATTATCCAAAAAGGGAAATCCATCAAAGTAGAAATTCCTAGATGAAGGTATTTGTTTTCGTCAGATGGATACCTATTATTAGTTATGAGATAAGAAAATATCTTCTTTCATATTTTATGCGAATAAAAGAAGATATAATATAATTTTTTTTTTTAAATAAATTTTATTTTAAGTAATCTTAAGTAAGAGAAGGAAAAAAATTAATCTTTGTTACAATTTTTTCACCAGATATTTTATGACAAAATAATACTTATTCAAAATAAATTAAAGTAAAAAATTCCCATTTATAAGCCGATTCTTGGATATAGTGCAGATTAGAGGTCTGCAATGGGCTGCTAAGATATTTTTTATTTTATTATTTCTTTAAATCTTAAGACACTTAAGATTACATTAAAAATTTAATTAAATATCTATACTAGAGGTTTGAACTGGACGGATTTTTAGCAACCCTTCCATTTTTAAAAATTTTTTTAAACATCGGGAGGATGGCGGGCAGGTTAAAAGATATTTTTAAAACAATGGGCGGGAGATAGACGGACGCATTTTGAATATTTTTCGGGCAAAATGAGTAGAACAGGCTCTTTTTTTTTATTTCATAATATATTGCATATTTTATATGATAGTTATAAATATACATTAAAATAAATAAAGAGCCAAACTAACCAATAAAATAATTTTTAACATTGGGTGGGCAGACGGGTTAAGCAAAATTATTAGATAAATGGGCGGGCGGGCAAATTTAAAAAAACTGGGTGGGGGAAGGTGGGTAAAAAAACTTAAAATTAAACGTTTTGAAATCAATACCTTAAAATGTAATATGATCATTTTACAAAAAAGTATGCCAATTACTCAAAGATGGAGTATTCAGTGTGCATATAGGTCTCCTGAAATCTCAAAACGCGCTCCAGATATTAAGATCGTTTCATTCTCATCTTCACATACCATCATTTGAATCCAAACTTGAAATTAGTGGGAGCGAAGACGATATTGTAGACAAAGAGGAAAAAACTACCATCGACAATACAAATAATTTTACCTTTTATTTGCACCCATTTTTGTTACCCGCGATAGCAGACTTGATTAGATATTACAGATGGGAGCGCTTCATATATTTTTATGATGATGATGAAGGTAAATATCTTAATAAAATTTTATATTAGTATAAGTATATTTCCTAATCTCATACATTATCTAAATCTTTGTAATTTAAGATCATATAAGACCATAAATGGTAAAATACATTTATAGTATGTTTATGAATTATGAATTTAGAGGCTGGTTAGTAAGTTGGACTAATGATATTCTTGACTGTCAACATTTTAAAATGTCGAGCACCATACTAGGTGATAAAGAGAGAAAAAAAAATCTGCGATATTATTAAATTATTCTTCTAATACTTTAACCTAAAATATTGTTGTTTAAAATAATATAACACCTTTTAACATTTTCAAAATGACCTTTTTAAAGGTATTTTTAAAATAATTCAAAATGTTCAGGGCGCTTTTAAAATTTTTTATGGGGCTAGAGCCCTTGTGCTTCCACCCACTAACGCTACCGGTCTATATTAGATTATAATTCAGATCAATTTTACCATAGATATGATTAATAAGATATTTTAATTTTTTCTAAATATACTTCGTTTATTATTTAACTAGCTAATATCCCATCAAGAATGACGGGTTTGAGGGTTAATTAGTTTGCTTGTGTATATGGTACTAAATAAACTTTATTAATATATTTTATAAAAATATTAAAATTTAAGAGAAAAAGAGGCATATTTGTTAATCAAACCTCATAAGATCGTCTTAATTTTTTATTCATATATCACAGAGAGAAAAATATGATGATCGATGGGCAAAAAAGGGAATTATTTATATTTTTAAGCGTCGTTATTAAAGGAATTTTAGAAGTAAAAGTGTGTTTAAACTTTTGACGAAAACGGTTGGTGCATGCACGAATCATACCAGTATTATTTGATAAATCAGTGGGAAAGGATTGATTTAAATTAGCATTTTGAGGTGTAGACAGGCGCGTACGCAGCGGAATGGGGGGGGGAGGTGTGGCGAAGGGACAAATTCCCCCCCCCCCAAGCCAAAAATGCAGATGCCTGATATATTTTTCAAAAATATTATTGTTTATATTAATTTATATGTGTTAATATTTATTCCTACCTCATATTAAATATATATTTAATTATACATTTATTTATCACATTCATTTATTAAGTTATTTTATCAATTAATTTTGATTTCAAGTTTTCCTTGGAGTAATATTTACCTATCATTTTCAAATTTCTAGTGGCGTAATATTTATCCTCCATTTTCAAATTTCTAGCAAATAATAATTATTTCTGATCTCCTTGTCCAACAGAGAGAAAGAAATCGCAAGCTTGTTCAACGAGATGGAGTCTCCACCATCAAGCAGTAACAGCTTCTATGGAGTTAGATGAGTCGATTATTAATGCTATTACTGAAATATCACAATGGCCTGAAAGAAATATTTTCTCAGAAGCAAGAAAATTATTGTCATACTTATTCTAAATTTTTTTTCTCATTAGAATGTATTATTTAATTATACAACTATTTTATGTAATACTTTTCAAAAACATGACATTGACTTGATTAGGAATGTGAGAATAGCGGAGAGCATTAGAATTCAAGGAAATTAGAGCTAATGTTGATGAAGAATTTCATATTTTATATGTTATTGTTGAGTCAAAAGCAGAGCTATACTTGTTTAATATTTGTCTCCCTCGACTTGCAGCAAAAGCTCATCGTCAAAACATTAATTTAGGATCAGCAGAAGAGTATTATAAAATAAATTTCCCCTCTCTTAGATACATTTATAACCCAAATAGATGAATGGTTTTTAATTCATCATGCCTTACCAATCTGCAGATATTACTTCCACAAAAGCCTTCCCAACCTTTTTTCCAGATGGTGATAGGAAAAAAAATATTTGATAGATTTTTATCATGAAAATGTTAAAGTATCTTATGATGCCTTATTAGCTGAATAACTATGTTTAAAAGATTAACTATAGTTGATATAGTCCCAAAAAATGCTATGGATGCTTTGCATTATTTCAAGCACATTTAGATTATATTCCCAGTGTATTAAAATGGTTATATACATATTAGCAACTCTTCCCATTAGTAAACTATTGAGAGAACTTTCTCTTTTTAAAAAAGAATAACAGCGCTCTGCAGAGGTACAATTTGCAGGGCACGGCCCGGATTTTTTTTAAATAAAATTTTCAGGCCCGGCCAGAACTTAAAATAAATTATATTTATTTTTGATTTTTATAGCAATAATGACAACTTCAAATATTTGTTTTAATATATAGCCCGGCCCGAATATTTTTTTTAAAATAAACCCGGCCCGGGTGTTTTTTAAAAAATTTAGGCCCGGCCAGGGTGTTTTTTAAAAAAATTTCGGGCCAGGCCCGGATATATTTAAAAATATTAAATACGGTTTGGCCAGGGGGCCGGGCATGCAGGTCTTTGAAAAACATACCAAAGAAGTACAACTTCTGAAAGTAGATTGAATGGTTTGGATCTTTTGAATATTCATAGGCATTTCCAAGCAAGGATGAGATAATTGGAAAATTGGCTCAATCCCAACGAAGATTGGATTTTACATTGTAAATATATAACAAATTTTATTTCCCCCCCCCCTCCCCCTTCCAGACTAAATTCCTTCGTACACGCCTTGGTATAGATAATGAAACTAATAGAAGTTTGATATTTTGGGATTTTACATGACTATGCAATTTACGAACATTTTCATTTTTATAAAACTTAATAAATAAATAAACTTTTGTTTGTTTGGAATTATATATTTCTATCTTTCGTGATAACGATTTAATATATAATTGGCATACAACCAAAATCGTATCGGTCAATTCAGCGAAACCTTTATCGCGAAACACTTTTTCGCGGACTTTTATTGCGAATGTCGTTTATCGCGAAAAGTTTTTATAGCGAAGATAAAATCGCGAAACCAATTCTTCGAATTTTTCTCCGCGAACCCTTAATCGCGAATTATTAGAGCGAATACATTTTAGCCAAACACTTTACAACGAATATTTTACCACGAATATGATTGCGCGAAGTCATTATCGCGAGCTCATTACCGCGAAACAATAAATATATTGCGAATGCATTTATTTAAAGTAAAACAAACATATTATTTATTATTTGATGTTTTTTTAATAAAAAATGATATGCTACTATTAATATTATTTTTGTTACAATTTATTAATGATTTTTACGCCCAAGATTTTAAGTAAAAAATATTTCTTGAAGTTCAAAAAGGATTTTGAACAAATTTTGATAAATAATTTATATCTTCTTTGTAAATATATCTTTTTTGAGGAATTCTTTTGTGAATTTTATTATAAATAAACAATCTTTTAGGTGAAATCTTTATAGTTTCTTTTATCATTTTTGAAAAATTATCTATTTTTTAAGTATATTAAAATAGGTGGGTTTTCTAAATAATTTTTTTTTTAAATATTTATATTTAAGTTATTTTATATGATCTTTTTAAGGAAAATAATTTAATCTGACAATTTTTATATTCTTTATTGAAAATATTCCTTGGAAAAATGACAATTATCATAATCGGTATTTTCAAACATATTAGATTTTTTTTACGGTAAAATATGTATTTTAACTTAAATTAAAATTCCAATTAAGATGCACCATAAAAGTGACATTAATAATAATCGTTATTTTTAAAGTTTTTTGACGTAAATGGGCTAAAATAAGTATTGTTAACATGTATTAATAGAACTTCAAGTGAAGATGTACCCTAGATAAGTGACAATTGTCATAATCTGTCATAATCTTTATTTTTAAAGTTATTTGAATTTTTTTGACGCAAATGGGGAAAAAATAGATTGTAAACATCTTAAATTAAAATTTCATGAAGATGTACCATTGAAAAGTGACAGTGACAATTGTCATAATCGTTATTTCTAAAGTTTTTTGAATTTTTACGCAAATGGGTAAAAATATAAATTGTAAACATGTTAAATTAAAATTTCATGAGGATGTACCATAGAAAAGTGACAATTGTTATAATCGTTATTTTTAAAGCATTTAAATTTTTTTGACGCAAACGGGCAAAAATATAAATTAAATTTCAGTGAAGATGCACTATAGATAAGTTACAATTGTCATAATCGTTGTTTATAAAGTTTTTTGTATTTTTTTGTTGTAAATGGGTACAATTATAGATTGTTAACATGCTAAATTAAAATGTCATGAAGATGTACCATTGAAAAGTGACAATTGTTATAATCGTTATTTTTAAAATTTTTTGAATTTTTTTGTGTAAATGAATTAAAATGTAGATTGTAATCTATTTTAACCATATATTTATAATAATAAACTCTTAACATTAAATTTATAGGATGTTGATTGTATCATATTACTAAATAATATTCATATGGTTTTAAAGTAATTTTTATAAAAATCCTACAATGAATTCACACTCAGCACTATTTTACCACGTGTATACAAATATTTTTGCTAACTGTGAATGCAGGATTCAGCGTCTACATGACAGGATTTTCACTGGATGCAAACCCCCTTCAAAAACCTTTGCCTACCCCCCTAAAAAATAGTCGCCTTCGGCGGCGGTGTCACTTTATCATTATTTTTACCTATTTATTTATTGATACTTTTTTCAAAGAATTTATAAAGGATAACCTAAATTAATCTATATCTACTACCAACTATCTATACTTTGTGATTATAAATAATTTATTTTTTAGATAATAAATTCAATTAAAACCTCCATTATTTACAATTAGTTATCATGGCATTATGAGCTTGCTAAAATATCTAAACCTTTTAAATTACATTAAAAATCATAGTTTATTGGAAAACAATGTGTATGATTGTTTGCAATATATAGATTTGGTCGATGAATTGTATTATAATAATACTATAATAAAAGTATAATTTTTACAGCAATAAATTTTGTCTTATTTCATCTCAAAATTTAATAGATAACCCTTAAAAAAATTTTATCCTATTCCCAATAAAGCAGCTTACCTCCTACCCTCTCAAAAAAATAGGATGCAAACTGTTCCTACCCCTCCCGCTCCTGTAGACGCTGGCAGGATTATACATTTTTATAATCTAGAGTTAAAACTTATTAATTTGTGAATCCATAACTTAAAAGTTTAGCACTCTGCAAATTTTTATCAAATTTTAAGCAGGATAAAAGGAACAACGACTATGAGCATGAAAATATCGGTTATTTTGTTACAATTGGAATTTTATTTTAACATGTTAGCAATTTATATTTTTGTCAAGTCAAAAATAATTCCAAAAACTTTAAAAATAACGATTATGACTATTATCACTTATCTAGGGTACATCTTCACTGAAATTTTATTTTAAAATGTTAGCAATTTATATTTTTACCTATTTGCGTCATAAAAATACAAAAAACTTTAAAAATAACGATTATGACAATTGTCACTTACCTAGGGTACATCTTCACTGAAATTTTATTTTAACATGTTAGCAATTTATATTTTTGCCCATTTGCGCATAAAAATACAAAAACTTTAAAAATAACGATTATGACAATTGTCACTTATCTATAGTACATCTTCACTGATATTTTATTTTAACATGTTTGCAATTTATATTTTTGCCCATTTGCGTCATAAAAATACAATAAACTTTAAAAATAACGATGATGACAATTGTCACTTATCTAGTGTACTTCTTCACTTAAGTTTTATTTAAACATGTTATCAATACTTATTTTGGCCCATTTACATCAAAAATAAATAATGATTATGATAATTGTCACTTATCTGAGGTACATCTTCACTGAAATTTTATTTAAACATGCTAGCAATACTTATTTTAACCCATTTTGGTCATAATTATTCATAAAACTTTAAAAATAACGATTATGACAATTGTCACTTATCTATGGTACATCTTCACCGATATATTATTTTAATATGTTGGCAATTTATATTTTTGCCCATTTGCGTCAAAAAAATTCAAAAAGCTTTAAAAATAAAGATTATGACAATTGTCACTTTTCTATGGTATATCTTCATGAAATTATTTAACAAGTTTTCAATTACCCATTTGCGTCAAAAAAATTTAAAAAACTTTAAAAATAAGGATTATGACAATTGTCATTTATCTTGGGTACATCTTCACTGAAGTTTTATTTAAACATGTTATCATTACTTATTTTGGCCCATTTACGTCAATAAAAGTTTAAAAATAACGATTATGACATTTGTCACTTTTCTATGGTATATCTTCATGAAATTATTTAACAAGTTTATAATCTATATTTTTACCCATTTGCGTCAAAAAAATTCAAAAAACTTTAAAAATAAAGATTATGACAATTGTCACTCTTGGGTACATCTTCACTGAAGTTTTATTAATACATATTAACAATACTTATTTTAGCCTATTTACGTCAAAAAACTTTAAAAATAACGATTATTATTAATGTCACTTTTATTGTGCATCTTAATTGGAATTTTAATTTAACATGTTAAAATACATGTTTTACCGTAAAAAAATCTAAAATGTTTAAAAATACCGATTATGATAATTGTCATTTTTCCAAGGAACATCTTCAATAAAGATGTCAGATTAAATTATTTTCCTTAAAAAGATCATATAAAATAACTTAAATAAGTTAAATATTTAAAAAAATTATTTAGAAAATCCACCTATTTTAATATACTTAAAAAATAGATAATTTTTCAAAAATGATAAAGGAAACTATAGAGATTTCACCTAAAAGATTGTTTATTTATAATAAAATTCACAAAATAATTCCTCAAAAAATGATTTATTTTTAAAAAAGATTTAAAATTTTTATCAAAATATGTTCAAAAATCTTTTTAAACTTCATAAAATATATTTTGTTTAAAATTTTGGTGGTGAAAATCACTAATAAATTGTAACAAAAATAATACTACAATATTTCTTTTATTTAAAAAAATCAAATAAAAGAAATCCATTTTCATATTATAATAATCATATTTCATTTCATTATAATATAAATGAAAAATATAAATAATATCATATGTTTATTTGTTGATAAATAAAATATTAACATTAACATTAAATATAAATAAAATAAATTATTTTAATAAAAATAAATATATAATAATAGGGCGCGATTTATTTCGCGAAATAGTTTTCGCTAATTGTTTTCGCGATTTAAGCTTCGCAATAATGACTTCGCTATAAAATTTTCGCGATTATTGATTGGCGATAAAAATTTCGCTCTAATGCATTAGCTTTAAATGTTTCGCTTTAAAGGTTTCACGATATGAGTTTCGCTATAAAAAATTCGCGATATTTGTTATACTATATTGTCTTCGCGGAAAAGTATTCGCTAATGTGGATTCGCGATGAAAGTTTCGCTATAAAATTTATTCGCGATTAACGACATTCGCGATAAAAGTTTCGCTGAATTGACATGGAACCGGCAAGTGGATAGAAGAAATTATAACATCAAGATGATAGGAAAGCTGATAGAAAAAATAAAATTTAACATTAAGATTATACGAAAACGTTCATTTCTTGATTACGGAGATTATATATATAGATTGTTAGTGTGGGATAAAATCACGCGTTAAAGAACGTCTTCTTTTTAATGTTTTATTCTAAAACAGCCTACTTACAACATTTGTTACAGAGAAAGACAAATCTTTGTATTTCTATTTATAAGATTATCTGAAATTAAAACGGAAAATTGGGGAAAACATTATTTGTATATATTATGAATAAGATTTTAATTTTCTAATAAAACAACTTCGAAAATATTATTTTAGTAATTTTTATCCAATTTTAATATTTTATCAATGTAATTATTTATAGGATTTGATCGTTTTCAAATTCTTACTGAACATTACCTGCCAAGCAAATATTTGGATCTATTTCCCGATCGAATTTTGGCCTTTAACAAATCAAATTTTATTCTCAAACGGTTATCGCCAAGCAATCAACAACAGATTAAGTTGATTTTAAGAGATATTATTATGGAAAGTTCAACTAAACAGTTTATAATTTTGGATTACCCGTACCATTCGTTAAAGATTATTCTGCACAAATTTATGCAAATGGGCATGACCAAAGGAAGATATCATTATATCCTGATGAACATGGTCTATATAATATATTTCACATTTATATAATAATTAATATTTTTTATAGTTGATGTATTTTTGGGGTTATTTCATATGATTTTGATATAAACACGATATAAGAATTGATAATTATTTCAGCCCTAACACCGAACTTATTAGATCACCAACATTTTATTTTGTTACAATAAGTATATATAACTTTCATAAATTTTAAGAAATAATTATTTATTAAACCCTTTTATAATTTTACAAATTGAAACCATAGGAGAAAAAAAACATGAATTAAGGAAAGAACAAGTTAAGTTTAATTAATTTTTAATTAAATAATTATTTCTATTTATCTTATAATAATTTTTTATAAAATTGTCCAAAGGAATTATAAAAAAACAAATATTATGAACCTATCCTTTCTCAATACTTGTTTGCAAATTAAGAAACTTTTCTACATCTAAATGGTAGATTAATGAATAATTAACAATAATTCCTATAGCTATTTTAAAAAGATTCCAATATAAATGAAAACAAGGACATCGAAGTGTTAGATTTGTCCGAATTTATAGGAGCGGGAGCAAACATTTCTGGCTTTACGTATTATGTTGACAATAAAAACGTAAAAAAAGACGATATCTCAACAAGTGCCGAAGTATTTAAAATATTGGACAAAAGGAAACCCAAAAATTATACGATGACCGTAAAAAATAATTTTTATAGATAAAAGCTTTACACTTTAATATAGGCATACTATTCCTCTCTAAATTTATTGATATAAAATAAAAAAAATTTATATATATTAATTTGTAAAAATATCAGGGACAAGCTGCTGCATTAATCGATGGGGTGTTCACATTATCGGGGGGTATCAAACGATTACTCCATAAGAGTCCCAATATTTTTGGAGATGTCTTTAAAAGAGGACAAATTTTCAACAATGGTTCAAGAGGGGTAGTATGTTTGGATGTCAATGACTGGAGCAATAGCCACATTCATAATATCATAAATCCTTGGTTGTACGGCTCAATGATATCCGAGGAAATCAAGAAAGTTTTTCTCTTAAATATGGCGGATTAAAAAAAATATGTATAATTTCATGCTTCCAGCCATTCATAACCACTAGTCAAGTCAGCATTTTGTAATAGTTCAGGGGTTAGATGAGAATATTTCAAAATTTTTTAATTAAAGGTTCGAAAATTGATTGATGGGTTAAAATTGTGGGTAAAACATCTTCAGGTAGAGCTAAAGATATCAATGTCAAGGCCGAATTTAAAGGTTATTCTTAGGAGTGATAAAAGAAGCTATCATAGCATTGTTCGTCAAACGCGATGCTAAAAATGAAGAAAGTGATATAAGATTTAATAGAAATAAGAAACCACCCATTTTCGAGGGTAATTGTGAGAAACCCCAGAGAATACTATGAGTTTGAAAAGAGTTAAAATTTGTGATTAAAGATATAATTCTAACTTTATTCAATATTCCCCTTCCTTTTACTTCTTAAAAAATATTTAATAAAAACGAACTGAACCACACTCTAAAGTAAAAAAGAATGAAATTAATCACTTTTTGAAAGTTTAATATTTGAACTGTACCAGTTTCCTGACTATTTATCCGTGTAAATGGAAACTTTTTAACCCTAATTAATATTTGATTATATTAACAAACAAGCTAAATATTCATGGTATCTCAGGAAATATATCTTTGGATCAAAACGGAAGAAGAAATAAATATCAACTGAGTCTTATCGAAATGACAATCAACAGAGGTCTAACAAAAGTTAAAATAGTCAATATTTTATTTACTCATATTATTTCAACATATTATATCTATAAAATAAAATATCATTATATAAGTATCTTAACCTAGTAAAAAGTATCATTTCAAACATAAGTCAATAATTAAAACCCTGTAAAGTATTGTATCATTTAAAACTTTAAACTTATTCTGTAAAACACATAAAGTTTAACTTGAAAACTTATAGATTAGTATTTTTAAAAAATATAAAAATTATAATTAGATATTACAAAATTAATGTTTTTTTTATTAAATAAAAGGTTGGAACTTGGAATGCCATAGATGGAATAAAATTTCAATATCCTAAATTTAATCGATACACTGGTAACGTCACATATAACAATCGCACTAGGATTATCACCTCTATATTTGTAAATAAAAATTATTCAGTGGAAGTTTATTTTTAACATTTGGTTTTATGTAGATTTATGCGCCGAAGTCTAAATTTTCGGTGGCTTATTTTTATTTTTTATTGGCCTTCATCAGCACGTCAAGGTAGCGGCGACGGCCTCAATAGCGCTACATATTTTTAAATGTTATTTTTTTAATAATTTACTTAGTTCCACCATTGTTAATAGTTTAATTCTTTAATTATTTCCCATCCCTACATAAATTTATTCTCATTTTCCAAAATTGACTAAAAAAATTTATTTTCCTGTTGCACAATTACATGAGTAATATCCTATCGATTTTTATTAAACCAATATATAAAAATTTGGAAATACAAACAAAATATAAAGAAATATAAATATTTTGTCAGGATTGTTGGAACATAAAGTTATGGAAATCTTGCCCCATGCTTAAATAATGCTCATAATCCCCAATCTGATGCTCTTTTGTCATTTTTCCCACCATTCGTTACCATCCATATTATTTTGTTTTTTAAATGAAATTTCTCTTCTATTCGATCGTTCTCAGATAATATCGTCTCACTAGTATGCTCTTGCGCCACGTTTCTAGTTTAAAGGGTAGAATGTTTTAAATCAAATTTTTCATCTAGTGAATGAAGACTAAATGTGATACAATTTCGTGGTTTTCAATGATCTGTCCATAAATCAAAAGTGATAGAACATAATTTTGATTTAAAATATATAGCCTCTATAGATGAATATCATCCAGCATCCCGATTAATATTTGTCCTATCTAGTAATTATGACGATTAATCAATTATGTGATATTTATATTTTTTTAAAATTAATTAATTTTTTCATGTTATTTATATGTTTATATAATCAAATGGCATTAAATTTAAACAGCATATTAAAATATAATTTCGTCCTATTAGATTTTATACTTATTTTATACATTAAAAAACATCAAATAAAATATAAATTATATATAAATATAATAGTTTAAAATTAAATAAATTATTAGGAAAATAAATAATGTTTATCCCAATTTTAAGCAAGGTCTACAATAATAATCATTTCTTATTTTTATTCTTCTAAATTAGATTTTTTAAGTAATTTCAGTCATAACTAGTTTTACTATTATTAGAGAAAGCGGTTATTTCATCCACTAAAAAAAAGATAATAATAAAATGTAATGTGTTTATATAATTGAAATATAAATTATAATAAATGAATGAATGATTTTGTGAATGATATGTATCTATTCAAAACTTCATATTTTAGTATTTAATTAATTTTGTTTTAATATTCAAATTAAAATATAATAATTTAATATATAAAAATGATTTAATTGCATTTTAACAATTTTACCGGGCCGCCGACATAAAAAAATTAACTGTGAGTCTGGCGGGGCGGCTCATCTCAATCTGCAGCTTTTCTGGTATGAAGAAAATTGTAGGCGGCCGCTGCGTGAGACAGCGGCGTTCTGGTCTAGTTTTATGATGGCCATTGTTTAAAAATAGAAATATTATGATCCATAATAATTTGACTAAGATGATTAACAAGATACAACATAGTACATCAAAAACTTTGATCATTTACTTTATTTTTAACTATGATGGATCCAATTGGATAGTTTATATATGCAATCCTAACAGAATAAATTCTTATTCCTTTAATATTTGTCATATTTTTTTAATATAGCCAAACTAGTTAGCTTAGCGGACAACAAAAAATTGAGTTCATTATTGTAACAAATTTTTCTATATCCATTATTTTGAGATTCTTTCCCAATTTGTAGTTAATTTGGACAGGCAGATTCTAATGGTTTTGACAATTTTTATTTAATGGTCAGAAATATATCATATTAAATATTCAAGAGTTACTTTATCTATTTTATAAAAAAATGTTCTGTTTATATAATTTACAAAAATGAAATAAAAAAAAAATTAGAATAAGTATTATATAAAAATAAAAAATGCTAGAGTTGAAAAAGGTAAAATTGAATAATAAATATATTAAGTTAAGTATTCAAATAAGTTAATTTATAAATTTTTTAAAATAATAAAATGTTTCTTCGTTAAGAATTGTTTAATGAAATTATTCATATATCATATCTAACACTATTTCTGCATATATTATTTAACTCTTATTCCAAATTTCTGCGAAATTTATAATTAAGATCGTTTTTTGATAAAAGTGCATTTTTCTATTTTATCCGTAAGTAAGAAATGAACTGGAATTTTAGAAAGAGATTGGATTATTTTTAAGCATGCATGTTGCATAGTATATTTGAGGGTGGGTATCTATTTAACTTTTTCAAACTATCATAATTTTGTCATAGATATAAAATCTTATATTGCATGCATTAAAGACTTATATTCTGTTTATTATATATACAGGAAGATCCATATTTTATGACAAAAGTTCCCAGGAAAGGAGAAATATTGAGAGGTAACGATAAATACGAAGGTTTCTGTTTGGAATTAGCAGATATGATCGCAAAAATGGTGGGCTTTGATTATATTATAAGACCGGTCAAAGACGGAAAATATGGGGCCATCGATGAAAACAATCAATGGAACGGAGTTGTCGGAGAATTAATTAGACAAGTAAATTGTCATAAGTATATCCACCTTTTTTAAATTTATAAATTTAAATTATTAATTTGGTATAAATTATTTAATAACCAGGAAGCCGACTTAGCAGTGGCACCCTTGACAATTACCTCCGCCAGAGAGAGGGTCATAGATTTTTCAAAACCCTTTATGGATTTGGGCATTAGTATAATGGTAAAAAAGCCAACTCAACATGTGACAGGAATATTTTCGTTTTTGAATCCTTTATCCAACTCGATATGGACTTGTATAATACTTGGTTATGTTAGTGTAAGCGTAGTCATGTATTTGGTAAGTCGATTTAATCCCGACGAATGGAAATTGCAAGACAATGTGTTTACAAACGATTTTACATTATCCAACTGTTTTTGGTTCGTGCTAGGTGCTTTCATGCAACAAGGTTGTGATATCAATCCAAGGTATGCACAATTTTATCTATACAGTGTTTAAATATTAACATTTTGACATTCATGCTACAATTTAAAATATTAGGAATTCATTAAAACAAATATTATCATTATTCAGAATATTTAAACCATCGAAAGATGGAAATTATATTTAGTAAATAAAAGAAAAATCAGAAAGAAAAATATTTAGGAGCAGCCTTAACATATAAATTTTTAACAGAATTTTGTTAAAAAAATATTAATCTAAGATCATTATCAGGAAGATCCACGGCCAGCGTGTGGTGGTTTTTTACCTTAATTATGATATCGAGTTACACCGCGAACCTAGCTGCGTTTTTAACAGTAGAAAGGATGAACTCACCCATCAATAACGTCGATGATTTATCTAAACAAACAGAAATAAAATATGGAACTTTGGATGCGGGATCGACTAAAGCTTTTTTCCATGTTTTACAGAATTCTTAAACAACAATAAAAAAATTTAAAACATAAATTTATTTTTATTCCAATATAAATAGTGGCCATCTTAAATTATCATTTTTTTGAAAAAATTAACTTTATACGAATATCAGACTTCTAAAGTTTCGGTATATGAAAAAATGTGGCAATTCATGAGTACCCAAAAACCTTCCGTATTTGTTAAAATTACTCAAGAAGGGATAGATAAAGTGAGAAAGTCCAAAGGTAAATATGCCTATCTATTGGAATCAACTACGAACGATTACACAAACAACAGAAAACCATGTGACACTATAAAAGTCGGAGATAACTTAGACTCCAAAGGTTATGGAGTTGCTACACCTTTGGATTCCGATTTGAGGTTTAATAGCAAAATATGATAAATGGGTAAAATAAGGAGGCATGTGACTATTAATAAAAACGCTTCCTTTCACGTTTAAGCAGCTCTTAATAGTAGTGTATTGCTTAAAAATTGGGCGGGGTGATACATTGAAAATCAATTTTTTTTTTTTTACAATTATGAATAAATATATTTATATTATATCCTATAAAATTTATTACCACCGATATCTATATAAATTAAAAAATATATATATATGAATTACAAATATTTCCATAAATCCTTCAATTTTTCTATTTCTTTGAGCTGTATTATTCTTTGAAAAGATTTCATTCGCCCGCGATGATTCCTTTTCCACATTTTGATACATGGACTGGAATCCGTCCGATATCGAAGGTCCGTTAATATATATGAGCAAATTTGATAAATTATTTACTCTTAAACTCATTCGTTTATCTGTCAGCTACCATGATCAAATTCATAAAATGAAAGTCCCTTTCACAGACGGAAGTATTGTAGTATAAAGTGTCCACACAATTAAGTAATTGTTTATATTTTTTATTTGGAGTATCTTCATCGATATAGAGTCCAACAATCGTTTCATATTCATTTAATCTCACTCTATGATTTAAATAATGCAGAAGCGGCGACTACTTATAAAATTTTCCATAAAAATAATGAATTCTAATTTTTATAATAATAATAAAAGTAAGGGATTCAAATTTAACATTTTAAAAAATATATTAATATTTGGTGCGAGCGGGGGGGGGGGGGCTACCATTCTCAAAATTTGGAAAGGGGGCTAATAATCAAAAAATTAACAAGGGAGTGTTGGAGCTTAGCCTCCCATAGCCCTCTCGCAATACACTCGCGCTCGTAAACATGTATGGTAAGGGGCGCCTAGCGACATTTTATCACACGACACTTTATCATGCGACACTTTATCACGACGACACTTTATCACGACGACACTTTATCACGACGACACTTTATCACGACGACACTTTATCACGACGACACTTTATCACGACGACACTTTATCACGACGACACTTTATCATGACGACACTTTATCACGACGACAATCACGACGACACTTTATCACTCAGTCATTTGATAACGCGACACTTTATCACGCGACATTTTATCATGATATACTTAAAACTTAATTTATTATAATTGAAAAGTTAAATTTTGATAATATCTCGTTTTTTGACTTTCATCATGATATACTTAAAACTTAATTTTATATATTTGAAAAGTTAAATTTTGATAATATCTCATTTTTTGACTTTTCCGTCTAAATTCCAATATTTAGAAAATATAAATTAATTTTTTATGTTAACGCGACACTTTATCATGATATACTTAAAACTTAATTTTTTATAATTGAAAAGTTAAATTTTGATAATATCTTATTTTTTGACTTTTCCGTCTAAATTTCAATATTTAAAAAATTTAAATTAATTTTTTTTTATTTTTTTTATTGAGAAAAACTCATATTTTAATTTACATAAATATAATTTTTTTTAACTTAATTATCATCTTATATAGGGAAACAGGAGATATAAGCAATAATTTTCTATTTATACTTTTTATTAATAAGTAACTATAAATCAATAAAACACCACACTTAAATTAATGTGTTTATCTATTGATATTATTTAAGCTAATCGTTTTTTCACAAAGATTTATAATTTTTACAAATTAAGGTTTTGTATTTACCCATAAATATAATAATTTAATTTTTTTCTATATATACCTCAATTTTCTATATTATTATATATTAAAGAATATTTTTTTTATTAATTATAATGTTTGAATTAGGATTTACATCGAAAAATAAACCTACTCTTTTATATCAAAATTACGAATATACTAAATTTAGGACAAATAAAAATGAATCAATATGCTGGAGATGCGCCAAATATAAATCTCTAAAATGCCATTCTTTTATTACAACAAAATTGAATGATATCTTAAAAGGTCCCCTTGATCATACTCATGAGGGTAACATTTCAAAATCTTATGCCCGAAAAGCAATATCAGAAATGAAATCCAAATTAAGTGAATATTCTAGTCCTTCTTTGGTCCATGCAACAACATTGTTAAATTATGATAATATGACCTTGATGGTTATGCCAAATAAGTCTGCCCTTTATCGATCCTTACAAAGGCATAAAAAATCGATCTCTACCATTATATTGCCTCTTATCCTTAAGGATCTCACTTTCTTATATCCGGAATGTTACAGGGATATGCTCAAATACGATTCTGGGCCAGATGATAATTTAAGATATATAATGTTGAGCACGGACGAACTACTCGAAGGATTATCAAGATCGGATATATGGATATGTGATGGTAACTTTAAAATTGTACCTGAAATATTCTTCCAACTTTATACCATCCACTTTCAAATTGCACCGGGCGCGAATCCTGTTGGTATATATTGCTTATTACCAAATAAAACGGCGCATACATATGCAAGGATGATAAAAGTAATCATATTATATATTTTAAGAGATGTCTATGGAATAAACACAATTGCACGTTAGAAGGTGTCGCCCGAACAACAAATTATGTTGAAGGGTGGCACTATGGAATTCAATCCTTATACCAATGTTCTCATCCAACACTATGGAAATTTTTAGATGGAATACAAAAAGATATGCAGAAACATAAAGCTCTATATCTTCAAGTCGTGATGGGAACAACACCGTACTTATCAAAGAAATATGAAGATATAAAAAGACGAATTCAGATTTGTGTTTCAAATTACGGATTGTCGGATTCTTTAATATTTTTAAAAGCTATTGCCCATATTTCGTGCAATTAAATATATTATAAATAATTTATATTTTTTACTCGTGATATATTGATTTATAGTTACTTATTAATAAAAAGTATAAATAGAAAATTATTGCTTGTCTCCTGTTTCCCTATATAAGATGATAATTAAGTTAAAAAAAATTATATTTATGTAAATTAAAATATGAGTATTTCTCAATAAAAAAAATTAAATTAAATTTTTTAAATATTGGAATTTAGACGGAAAAGTCAAAAAATGAGATATTATCAAAATTTAATTTTTTCAAATATATTAAATTAAGTTTTAAGTATATCATGATAAAGTGTGGCGTTAACAAAAAAAATTAATTTAAATTTTTTAAATATTGAAATTTAGACGGAAAAGTCAAAAAATGAGATATTATCAAAATTTTATTTTTTCAAATATATTCAATTAAGTTTTAAGTATATCATGATAAAATGTCGCGTTAACATAAAAAATTAATTTAAATTTTTTAAATATTGGAATTTAGACGGAAAAGTCAAAAAATGATATATTATCAAAATTTAATTTTTTCAAATATATAAAATTAAGTTTTAAGTATATCATGATGAAAGTCAAAAAATGAGATATTATCAAAATTTAACTTTTCAGTTATATTAAATTAAGTTTTAAGTATATCATGATAAAATGTCGCGTGATAAAGTGTCGCGTTATCAAATGACTAAGTGATAAAGTGTCGTCGTGATAAAGTGTCGTCGTGATAAAGTGTCGTCGTGATAAAGTGTCGTCGTGATAAAGTGTCGTCGTGATAAAGTGACGTCATGATAAAGTATCGTCGTGATAAAGTGTCGTCGTGATAAAGTGTCGTCGTGATATAGTGTCGTCGTGATAAAGTGTCGCATGATAAAGTGTCGCGTGATAAAGTGTCGCGTGATAAAGTGTCGCGTGATAAAGTGTCGCGTGATAAAGTGTCGCGTGATAAAGTGACTCCAAATCGGTAAGGGGCTAGAGATGGAATATGTTAAGTCTATATGAGGGGAAGATTAGGATTATATTATGTCGCCATTTTAATAATGATAGTCACAATTGCCATCTTATTTTACCCACTGACCGGAAATAATATAAGCATCGAAAAGTCAAATTAATCTGAAATTATCATAATAAAATTAGTATTCATTTCATAACATTATGGATTATATATAATGATACTTTGTTTTATTTTTACTGGAGAGGCTAATTTTTACTTATATTACTTTTAAGAGGTATTATAATTTTATATTAACATTGGAAAATAAAATTGTAACCCACACATGAGAGATGTAGTAAAATCTAAAATATTTTCCTAAGACTGTTTTAAAAGTTATTTTATATCTCACACGTGATTTTATAATTCGGCTGCTTAATATCTTATGTCGTTTTCCTTAACGTTGGTACGATGTAATTTATAAAACCGCCTAAATTTCTAACATTTTACCAATAAAGAATTAGAAAATTTATATTTAATTTTTTTGTCAAAAGATTATTTTACTCTTTTCGGTAAATTTGATTATAAAACAACTTAATGACTCTCATATTTATTAGTATTTTACTTTGATTCAAAAATTAACATATAAACATAATTTTTAAAAAATTGCTCTAAAAATAGGAGAATATAAGAATTCCAAATTTTACCTAATATTTAAACAGGGAGGCGATAACATTTGCAGTCCTGAAACTTAGGGAGGATGGTGACCTTCAAAAATTAAAAAATAAATGGTGGTATGACAAAGGAGAGTGCGGACCTAACACAGGAACATCAGTTTAAAAATATCAATTTATAATAATATTATTTATTTTTTAAAGGATATAGCTAAAAATGAATTGACTCTAAGTAATGTGGCAGGAATTTTTTACATATTAATAGGAGGATTATGCATATCTTTGATAATGGCAATTTTGGAATTTGTGTTCCGTTCCAGGTCCCTTATAAAACAAAACGAGGTATTTAATTATTATAATTTATATTATAATGCATGTTAGGCTAAAAGACCGATGATGAAAGATCTGGTGGGAAAAATGGATCCCTCATTTACTTCTACAGAAGCGAGCAGTACAAAAAGTAATAAAAAAAATTGGTTCAAGATCCAAGTTTAAATTGGTCATCCGTTAATAGAAATCTATGATGCAAAATTCAATTCTTTAGTTTTTATTATTATTAATATATTATTTGCAAGTCACTTTTTATATCTAAAAGATTTGACTTTTACTCCTTGTTTTAACTCTTGAGTAAGGATAAATATATCTAACGAGAGTGGTTGAATGAATCATAGCTCGCTCTCATTTTAAAAATATTATATCTCGCTCAAATTTTTATACTGCGCTTTGATATTATAGACATTTTTACTAATGTTAACCTTAAATTAATCATAAGTATAAAAATTTTGAAGATTTAATATTAAATAAAAAAAAATTATGAGAATTTTTGTAAAAAGTGTCGAAAATTTATTTATATTTCATATTTTTAAAATAAAAATCTATTTAAAATATGCAATAATATTTTTTTTTTAATAAATATTATTATTAAACTTGCTTTTATTTCAAATGATAAAGTATTATTTAAAAAAAAAAGAATTAATTTGTCGTTTAGACATCCAAAAAAAAAGTTTATTTCTTAAAAATCAATCCATATAAAAAAATATATGATACTTTGCTTAAAGATAGTTTAGCATAAAATTTAAACTATATTTAGCAGAAATTTTGATAGCAGGAATTTATTCGAAACAGATTTTCTAAAAAAGGTCCGTACCCGCGCTGGGTCTATTTTACCCCGAGTTTGACTTGTCCATAAATCGGTTTCTGTTTAGTCTATGATCTCAAAATGCCCAACCAAACAATTTTAAATTTCTGTACTTCGAGTTCACACTTCACAGTCCTGGTCATAAGATTAGATTTAAATTTATTAATTTATGGATTAAATAAAATGAAATTTAATTTTAAGGATTTTTAGAAATTTTTGTAAAAAAAATTAAAATAATTTATTAAATATTATATAATGTTGTAAATGAAGTTCAAGTTTGTTTTTTTTTAAAATGAATAAAGGCGTTCCTTTTATTTTTGACGAACTTTGGATATAACTCGTTACTTTTTTTGACGAAAGCGCTTTTCAATTTAAAATCTTATATTTTTATTCATTTGTAAATAAAAAATATTAATTTAATATTCCGAATTTTTTAAGAAAAAGGGTTTTTTTTATTACATATGAATTTTTTTTTAACCCGCTACACTTTCTGTCCTATAGTATAGGTTTAATTTGAATATTATTATTCATATTTTATAGATTAGCATAAGCATGGATTGTTATTTTATCATCTCATTCGGAATTTTCAGAATCAGATGAATTAACATTACCATAACACAAATATAATAGATACTTTACAATAACATTCTACCTTCAAAGGACTAATTCTATCCTAATCAAATGTAAAATGTGTCCAAAAAGTTAGCTTATTAATAAAGTATTTTAGATTGTTGCATTTCATAAGTTTATTAAATTATTAATAGATAAAGTAAATCATTAAATATTATATGCATAGATTTAAAATAGTTAATATCTTTTAGAATTTATTTATTTTTAGTGTAAATTCTATAAATTATAATCTAATCTCTATATTTTTAAATTTTTATCAAATTTTTTTTAAATATGCCCGGGCCGGGCCTAAGAAATATTTTTTAAAAATACCAGGGCCGGGCCAAATATTTTGAATTATTTGCTATAAAAATTAAAAATATATTTAAAAATTGTGTATCATAGAACAATATATTACATTCACTCACTTACCATATTTCCTATTTCCATTTTTTGATTCTTGGAAAATATTATAGTATGGTAATTCACTCATTCTTTTTACGATAAATGGGGAGATAAGATAATTTGAAAAGTTATTATATATGGATTTCATATTCGATGAAGTAAAATACCGAATAGGTGTTTTTTAATTTTTTAAGCCATGGAAAAAATTTATACATCCTGATCAGGGAGGAAATTTTTTTTTAAATATCCGAGCAGGGTTTGGAAATATAAAACCGGGCCCGGTCAAGCAAATGGTATATCTGCCGATCTCTGATAAAAATGTTAAGAATGAAAAATATTTTATAATTGTGTCTAGATTTGTTAGATATCTGATCTGCATAATTTTTTGATATTATAATAAAGACTAATGGCATAGATAGCCCTTATTATTTAGACCTGTTCACAGAGCATTTTGCTAATTTTATATTTCTGTTATATTTTTGATATATTTTACATAGTATATATATTATATATATATCCATTAAAATTTAGTGGAGCACAAAACAAAACTAATGATAGATTAATTATACATAATGACTACAATTATAAATAATTGTCATAATTGTTCAACGCACAAAATAAAAGAAACGATGCCTTTTTATCAATAAATTATTATGTTAAAAGTATATGTATTACTACTTATATTTACACACCATGATAATTTTTTGCATTTCGAAATTAAAATTAGATTGAAAACAATTATGTCCTTTTGGTTAAAAATAAAATTCTTTCTTGTTGATCCACATGTTCAAATATATGAGGGGCATCAATAATGATGCCTAAAGTACCCCCCAGAGTCACAATGATAAAGATATATAACAAAATTCGGTCAATAACGATGGCTATATATTTCCAATCTTCTCTTTCCTAAAAATTTTTTAAAATTATAATTGTTAGTGTTATAAAGAAAAAACATTTAATATTAATATGTACCTCTATCTCATTCTCCCCTCTCCCACTCCCCTTGATAAAAAACAATATATATTCGGGTTCTAAATCGAACCCGATATTTTGGTTTATGATCCTGGACCCAATTGTTTTTAAGTTTTAATTCTGATTGATTTCTTCAAAACTAAAGTTCAAAATAATGTTAGGATAGGGTAAACTTGATTTTTTTGTTTTTACTCTTAATACATTAAGAAACAGTTCTATCTTGATTATCGTTTTTCAAATTTTTTTTTTTACTAGTTAAATTTTTATATATAATAAAAATAGCTTTTTTTAAAAAAACTACTATTTTTGCAAATAAGTTTTACATACCTCATTCTATCAATTTCAATCAATAGTTTCGGTTATTTACTAGTAATTTTTATTTAAACTAAACCTGGGTTAGACCTGTCTGAATCGGGCTACCCGAATTCCATTTTTTTAAAATAACTTCGAGCCTGGATCTACGTCGAACCCGGCAATATTTTATGCTTATTTTATTGTATGGAGCTAATCAGATTTAAAAAAAATTATGATCATAAACTTACTATGTTATTTTCGTCTTGAATTTTTAAATGTTTAGCAATGAATATCACATCTTTGGCAGTTCCATTCATTATTCTGGGCGGAAAACTAGCATGCCTATTTGATTGTTTCGACTGGTAAAATTGGCTGAACTTGTTAGAATCTTTAAGTTGTTTTGTAACACTTTTGATATTGTTAGAATGCATATCATGATTTGATAGGCGACTAGTTGTTGGTTGATTTTGAGCTTTATTCGGATTTTTTTGAACATATAATTTTTTATCAGACTTATGAATTGTTGTATCCCCAAATTTACCATAATTGTTGGCATTCAATATTTTGCTGGGAGCGGCATTTTTATGTTTGGATTTGGTTAGGTATGATTGATATTCAGTTGGGGTTAGTTTTAAACGTTGTTGGTTGGATGAAAATGTAACAAATGTGTTATTCATATGAACATTGTTATCTATAGGAAAATGGTCATTTCTGTACCCCCATTCCTTATTTAATTCGTCATTTTTATTTTCTAAATCTTGATTGTTATTATTATTTTTGTTGGCTGAAAAATATATGTGATCGCCTGAACCATCTGAATTATTTTTATATTGATCACCCACGGATATATAACTTATATTAGGAAGAAGAATTTTATCGTTTTTAATTTTGTAATTTTCCTCATCTTCCGTTTCTATATCTATGCTATTCTGTCTTATAATAATACCTTTAGTTAATGATGAGTTACAATATTGTCTTCTTGGTGAAATATGTTTAATAACTTTAGTTCTACTATATGAGGAAGCATGCTTAGATGCTGGTTTCTGAAAACTATCAGACTTTGTAAATACATTGAGGTCAATAGACGAGGAATTCATTTGGTAATTGTGATTATTCGAATCCTTAAAAGTCATATTACTATCATTCTCCTCTTCCTCTATTTTGGCTATTTCTTCTATTTCTTTAAGGTCTCTATCGGTTAAAAAATGTTGCTGATTTTGGATTCTCAAATTTTCATAATTGAGATGTTTGGACACTCCTGTATCTATTTCTTGTTTAATAAGTTGTCCATTGGCTCCGGTTGCAAATCGGTAATTCAACACATTTTTATGGAAATCTGATAGTTCTAACGAAGAATCTCTTGATTTGAGCAAATTAATTTTGGCCATATTATTAAATTTTTTTTTTGAAGTTGGAAAATTTATTGATTTTAACGGATGCTTATGTTTATTAATTGAAGTTAATTTGCTGGACAAAGATTTATCAACATTTTGGGGAGATGATCGACCAGTTTTTTTTACGGTTGTATAGAGATGTTTATGAATATGGTCACATTCACTATTATTGTACATGTCTGCCTTTATCTGCGTTTTATAATAATCGGAAACCTTATATTTTAGATCAGGTGTGTGAACATGATATATAGGAAACTTTTTATCTATTACATTTGATTTAATTTGAAATTGGGATGTATCATCGATCGTATAATATTTATTTTCATGACTTTTCCCTTCTAAATTAGTTGTAACATATATATTAGATATGCTTTTGCAAGTTTGGTATCTTTTCCGTTTATCTTTATTCGAAATGTTTGAATCATTTTTGATTAGGTCACACTTATCGTAATTAGAAGATATATATGATCGATAATTAGAACTTGTGGGACTAAATTTTTCTTTATGTGAAGATATGTCAGAAGAATCGAAAGAGTAAGTGCCCGATTTCGATGGTCTTAAAAGTACTGGTCTTTTCATAAACACAAATTTAGGCAATACATCAACGAAAATAATTCGCAACCAGTTAGGTAGCTGATGAGTTTTAGCAGCTCTGAAATTCCAATTAACTATTATCACAGTCAATAAAACGCATATGAGATTCATAACGAATGTGAATAACAAGTATTTGGCTATCAAAGGGATAGTTAACGAAGTTGGTGGCAATAATCTCGAAACGACAAGTTGAAACAGCACTATAGCCAGTAGGATAGATATGCCTAACGTTATTTTTTCGTTACCGTCGGGTGGCAAATAAAACACTAATACGCTTAGCATAGACATCATAATACATGGCGCTAAGAGATTCATGGTGTAAAATAAGGTTTTCCTACGTATGTACAGATAGAAAGTTATATCGGTTACTGTAGGTTTAGTACGGTTATTAACATTCAAGTAGCCCGGAACGTTGATAACGTCCCAAGTACCGCTGATAGAAAAGTCAGTGAGATCTATGTAATCTTTTGAATCGAAAAATGAGATTCCTACCTCGTCCCCATTAAAGGTCCAAGATCCAAATTTCATTTTGCATTGCTGTTCGTCGAAAGGAAAATATTTGACGTCGATTATACATCCACTTTTGTAAATGGATGGAGGCACCCATAAAACTTCTCCTTCGTTGTTAAGGACTACATTGCATTTAGTGCTGACTTCATATTTGCCATCGGCGCTATTTTAAAAGTGTGAATTTTTAATATAATTACATGCTACATGCTGATATTATACCAAGCGAGAAATGGTAAGTAAGCACCGACCTTTAATATAATAACAATTGTAAATGTTGTTGATGAATAGAATTATTTGATCAAAAAAATACCGTAAGCTTTTAAATATAGACATGTATGTTTTAATTTATAGCTTTGTTGGATAACGCTAGAGATTTGCCAAAGCAATTAAAGGGAAAGGATTAATTAGTATCACATAATTTTTCTAGATTTATTTTTTGAATTTGAATAATTTATTAAAATTGATAAAGTTACATATACTTTAGCAATTTAAAAATGGCAAATTAATATAGTTATCAGAACCGCAAAGTTGTAATTTAGAAAATAATAAACTAATCTGATTATTATTTGAATAAAATTATTGGCTGTGAATCATAAATGACGAAGAATTAGATATTCCCCCCCCCCCTTTATCCATTAAAAAAAATAATTTAAAAAATATATAGTCGGTGTAAATAGGAAAATTAAAGAATTTAATAAAATAACAAATATATCGTTTTCTAGTCATTCAAAATCTTTGTAGCCTTTTTCATAAACAGAGTGCGCCATTTCTGCCTAAAAAAACTTATATTAAAATGAATTAATACATATCCATAATATTCCTTATGGATCCAAAAATATTTATAGGAGTTTGTGGGATGCTTCATTTTCCTAAACCACCTTTAGCGTTTTGCCTTATTTTTGGTCAAATTATGAAACTCGACCTTAGCTTTGCGGATTACCATTTTGTATGATTTAGCAATATGACATAATAAATAAAAGTACTAGAAGAGGGTAAGCAAAAACAGATTTTTTTAAGGTTAAATAAGATACTATGAGTCTTAATAAATTTAGATAGAACTGGAGGGATATTAGTTAAACAAAAAATATTTAGCTTAGAAGAATCTCTTATAAATAAAATAAAATATTGGGAATTCTATACTTTTATTTTAAAATCCTTTGTACTACAAAGTCGTGGAATAAATAGGATTAAAATATAGAAATTAAAAAGTAATTAATTTTAAAAAATTACAAAAATTACATTACCTAAAAAAAATATGTCTACCAAGATATTTTATTATTTGAGATTAAACAATTCAACATTTTCCTTAAATGGACATCTTTAAGTCAAATTGAGATATTTCTCAGCATCTCAAAGGCTAAATATATTTCAAACATAGTCCTTGAGAAAAGTGTAAAACTATAATAGAAAAAAATCAAGGATTTTAATATATATATTTTCTTTTAACAAAGTTAAAATTTTTTAAAATTATAAATACATTTCTTCGCAAAAGTGAAAGGAAAATATATCATTAATTCACTTGTTTAACAAAACGATATCCGGAGTCCATATCATAGAATACGGTATTTGAATATTCTTGATGTTACCATAATCTGTTGTCGACCATGCTAGTTGATAATCTTTCCATTTCTAATATAAGTAATGGGAGAGGATTTTACTTAGCTATAAAAAGAAATTATCAATTTAAAATTCATAAATAATTTTCGTTTAAAATAACTCATCTATTGCTTGAAATTTACTAAATTCGATTATAAAACTTACTTTTTTGCATTATAGTTAATCATAGTAAGCTTATTCAATTTTATATAAGAAAAAAAATAATTTTACAAGCTGAAGCCAAACATTGGTTTTCATAATTTGTTCACGTTCATTCTGAAAAAATAATAGTTTTAAATAATAAATAAAATTTTTAAAAACAACAATATAAAAATATGTAATATATAAGTAAGATCTCTTTATATATATTAGAGGCCTGCAGGCCCAGGCCCGACGTTTTTAATTTTTTAAATATATTATTTTTAAATCTGGGCCGGACCGGGCTGTGCAAATGGTATATTTCTGCAAGTCTCTGATGTATATATATAAGGCTTATCCCAAAATCTTTTTTAGAAAATTTGAAAAGGAAGTTTTAAAATTTTATAATTTTCTAGAATTATATTTTGGATAAGTTTTAATTTTTATATTATTAATAAAAATTATTTCTATTTTGGACAAAGCTAAATATAAAATTGTGTAAAATTCACATGATAACACTCCTTACATCTTTTAATACTGTTCCGGCAAAATTAAGTCTTTAAAAGTTAAAAAAAACACGGGCTATAAATGTTTTAAGTTTTAAAATTTTTTTATAAAACTAAATACTCAGATTTGATAAATCCCTTAGACAAGGCATAGTCTAAAAAAAATTTTTTGAAGATTTTTTTCGTCCAAAATTTTGAGCAAAAAATCTTTGAAGACCACAAAATTGAAATTTTTTTAAAGAAGATCAAGATATTCTTAAAAAAATTTGTGATTCCTGAAGGATTTTATTAGCATAGAAAATGTGTTTTATGAAGGATTTATTTACAACAAATATTTGTAATTTTAAAAATTTGATCAAAAATCCTACTGAGTATTCTTCTTTATATTTTTTTATCTTCAGAGACCAAATATTTTTCAAGATTTTTTTGTAAATTATAAACCATGTATGTACAACGGTTAAAGTCAGAGCGAGAAAAAAAACTTATACAGCCTTAATAAACTTTTTTCTGGAATTAGATCCTAAAAATAAATACTTGATGAATGGTTATTCATATAAAAACTCTGAAACGGCCTTAAAAATTGGAAAAATGGGATCCGAATTATTTAAAAAATCTAAAGGATCATGAGTAGGTTTAGCTTAGTAGACCTTAAAATTTGGATTTTTTTGATAGTTTAATCAAAAATGTCGAATCAATATTCGAGGTCAATCCCATATTTTGACTAAAACCTCGAGGAGTCAAAAAAGTCTTACATTACCTAATCCCTTTTGGAGTCAGCACATTGGTTATTTTTGGCAACATTACTCGAGATTAAGAGTAAAAACCAGATTAATATAGAGGCTAGGCGGCTTTCAAGTTAGTCGATTGAAAACAAAATTTACCGGAAAATAATCGATATTTTGTAAAAATATATTATTTAATTCAAGAAAACTTCTTTATAATGTCACAAAAGTTATTTTATGTTTAAGAATAATTTTTAATTAAAATTTAACGCCAACTAGCGGACATTTCTTTTTTTATTTTAAAAATTGTAAATTAATTTTTGCGACGTATAGTTTAATAAATATATTAACTTTCCTTATACATTAAATAAATAATATATATTTACATGATATTAATTAATTCTCATGATTTTTACTTTCAATTGCCTAACTCGAGCTCACAGGCGCGTACGCAGGAATTTGGTCTGGGGGGGATAATAAATTTTTTAAGAAATAATATTTTTAATTAAAAATACTAAGCATAAATTTATTAGAATTAATAACTTTTCTAATACACAATTTTAAACTAATGTGAATTAAAAAAATTATATATATAAACCGGCATTTAAATGTGAATCATAAAATATAAAGTGAATATAACCCACGATATGAATCACTTAAATGACCCAAAATTGAAATTTGAATTTTTTGAGCTTTTAAAATATATAAAGTATAAAAAATTTAAATGTTGTAAATATAAATTAATATACAAAAAGTTTCTTAGGAATAATTGTATTTTGTATGTTTTGAGCTAATTTTTCAATTATCAATCCTTGCTTGGCGTTAAATGTCTATGAATATTCAAAAGATCCAAATCATTCAATCTACTCAGATGTTGTATTTTTTTCACAGACTTGCAGGCCCGGCCCCCGAATTTTAATTTTTTTAAATATACCCGGGCCGGGCTCGTAATTTTTTTTTAAAAAAACACCCGGGCTGGGCCTGAAAATTTTTTAAGAAAAAATATCCGAGCCGAGTTGTATATTTTAAAACCAAATATTTGAAATCGCCATTATTAGCTATAAATATCAAAAATAAATATGATTTATTTTAAAAAATTCGGGGTGGGCTAGCCGAGCCGGGCCGGAAGAAATTTTTAAAAAAAATCTGGGCCTGGTCCTGCAAATGGTACCCCTGCAAGGCTCTGTTATTCTTCTTAAAAAAGTGAATGTTCTCTCATTAGTTTACTAAAGAGCTGCTAATATATATATAACCATTTTAATAATTGGGAGTATAATCTAAAATGTGTTTGAAATAAAAAGCATCCATAGCATTTTTTGGGACTGTATCAACCATAGTTAATCTTTTAATCATAGTTATTCAGCTAATAAGGCATCATAAGATATTTTAACATCTTCATGATAAAAATATAACAAATATTTATATTTTTTTTCTATCACCATATGAAAAAGGTTGGGAGAGGGGACATTTGTTTTATAATACTCTTCTACTGATCATATATTAATGTTTTGATGATGAGCTTGCTTGCTGCAAGTCGAGGGGGACAAATATTTAACACGTATAGCTCTGCTTTTGACTCAACAATAACATATAAAATATGAAATTCTTCAACAACACTAGCTCTATTTCCTTGAGTTCTAATAAAATGCTCTCCGCTATTCTCATCTTCTTAATCAAGTCAATGTTATGTTTTTGAAAAGTATTACATAAAATAGTTGTATAATTAAATAATACATTCTAATCAGAAAAAAAATTTGGAATAAGTATTGAATCCAATAATTTTCTTGCTTCTAAGGAAATACTTCTTTCAAGCCATTGTGATATTTCAGTAATAGCATTAATAATCAGCTCTTCTAACTCCAAAATAGCTGTTACTGTGGCGGAGACTCGATCTCGTTGGACAAGCTTGCAATTTTTTTCTCCCTGTTGGACAAGGAGTTTCAGAGATAATTATTATTTTATTAGAAATTTAGATAAATATTACGCCACTAAAATTTGAAAATAATAGGTAAATTACGCCAAGGAAAACTTGAAATCGAAATTGATTGATAAAATAACTTAGTAGATGAATGTGATAAATAAATGTAATTAAATATATATATATATATATATGTATATATGAGATAAGAATAAATATTAACAAATATAAATTAATATTAACAATAATATTTTTGAAAAATATAATCCGGCATCTGCATTTTTTGGCTTTGGGGGGGGGGGGGGATTTGTCCCCCTGTCCCCCCCCCACTGCGTACGCGCCTGCGAGCTCACCTCAAATAAGCCTAGACATGATCTTAAGACAATTTATTATAAATTAGTTAAAGGCACTGGATTGTTCACAACTTTATCCTAAATGCAACATTGGGGAAAACAAAAAATTATGACTGAATTCTTAGTGAACACGATTTAACATGATTTAACAGCTGATCGAGTTTATAAAATCTTTAAAAAATTTTCTTTACAAATATTAATTTAAATCTTAGTTTAAGTAATGATTATTTTAAGCTCGATCAGCTGTTAAATCGCAACGCGTTCACGAAGATTTCAAATAAAGCAAAATAAATCGGCCACATCTCGGCCAAGGTTCATTTTAAAAACACGCAACGGAAATTTTTTAAATATAAGATGTTTCTGATTTAATCTTTATTACCATTCCTTGACTTTTCCTTGGCCTTTCCTATCAAAAACAGTCCTATATATAAACTCTTCTAATTTTATAGTCCATGCATAAATTTAAGTTTAAAAATTTTAATTTTATTTCTCAACTTAATTATCAAATTTTTGAAATCTACCTTTACTTATAATGCACCATTACAAATAAATTATATGTTGTGATTGTTTTATTTAATGATTTGTTCCCTATAATGGACAAACGAATTTTGAATAATTCCCCTACTAGTAATATACAACTTTTAGAAACTATTATAATCGTAAACCTTCAAAAATATGTCCACATTGTCTTAAACATTTTACCTTCCGTGAATAGACAGCATTTTGCCTTCCGTGAAAGAATAGATCAATATTTTTCCATGAGTTCAAAAACAGAGGTGATCTGCCCGTCGTGCAATCTACCTAAATTATTAACCAAATATAATGAAATCCCTATCCATCGCCTAGTTAATATTCGATGTCCTTCTTCTGTAAACACAATACTCTCAAACATTAATATACCACCTAACAGTTTTTTTGTATTAAATAATCAAATTCCAACAAAATCAATCATAAATACAATCAAAAACTGATACAACAATCATAAAAACCAATTTTCAAGCAAACTCTAACATCTATCTAACACTAGAATAAGAACCCACCTTATTAAGGATTCCCAGGTTTGCCCGAGCTTCAGTAACTTAATGCATTCAACAAATGATTTAGACAAATGGTCAAATTTGTTCCTATTCAAATCTCATATACATAACTCACCCTCTGATGTTACTCAAACCTAACAAAAAAAAATAAAACAATCTATAGTATCTTTCAATATCATCTACCTAATTCCCATTTGTAAAAAATATACTCTTATCACACTCTCTTTTCTCTTCTCTTCTCTTCTCTTCTCTTCTCTTCTCTTCTCTTCTCTTCTCTTCTCTTCTCTTCTCTTCTCTTCTCTTCTCTTCTCTTCTCTTCTAGACATCATTAACAAAGGTCAAATTAATCACCAATAATAAACACTTGAAATTATAAGTTCAAATGAAGGCAGTTCCAATAAGTCTTAACATTTTAAATTTACTCCAATTATAACATTCCCCAGGTTCATATACAGTATCCCCAAACATGACTCTTCATAATCCATCTGATTCCACACTAATATAGGTATCATATGACATCAATTCATTTAAAAAAGATTCAGGGACTTGGTCTTCGACCAATCTACTTACAAGACCTCTGAAAAGCTAATATCCCATCAAGC